GGAGGCAGGGACACCTCGATGCACTGGGCTCCTTGCAGAGGAGGTAACAGCCCTGCTTCTCTTTTGGAGAGCTTCCTCCTTCGACCCTGTTCTCATTGCAACAGAATGTTGCTAAACCCTCCTGCTTTGTTTGTTTGCTTGCTTGTGGCTTTTTGTTTGTTGTGCTTTTTTTGCGTGTGGTTGTCTTCTAATTCTGCTGGTTCCCTTCCTGCCCCATCAGCAGCTCCTGTTAATCAGGAGCCTTGTGCTGAGAGTACCGAGTGTTTTTGCCACCTGCTGCCCTTGTTTTGTGTGATTCCTGTGTGCTGGAACCAGCAGCTACAGCCGCAAGTGTGGCACATTCCAGAGTAATTTGAGTGTTTTCATTTTGTTTTCCACGGTGTCCTACAGAGCAAACTTACCTGAGGCACCTTGGCATCTCGTATACACAGTCAGGACATATGCTAAGGAGTATTTAAACATGTGTTGCTTGATTCATTATTCTAATGCCAGTGATTTAAAAATGTCCTAAACGCATGAGCCTTCAGACAGGTGTGTGCTGATGGTTTCTGTTAGATACAGAATGGAAAACAAGCAATTATGGAAGTTAAATATTAAATATTTACATTTCTACAGAAGACACAGCAGTGTTGGGAACAAGGGTTTGGAGAGGTGCAGAAAATAGGAAATGCTTTGTGCCAGAGGGGAGGTTGCCTTGGGAGGTGGAAAGGTGACATGCTGGGGAGCAGGGAGGGACCAGGTGGAGAGATGGGAAAGGATGGAGCCCCAGCTTGGTGAGAGAAATGCTGTCAGGCAGTGGGAGATCTCAAAACTTCTCGTCCTTTGAGAGGAGTCAAATTGGAATGATAAAATCCTGCTGCTTTCATGTTGAGTATTTTGTCAGGCTTGATTCTTTGCTCTGATATTGAAATACTTATCTGATCAGGTGTCTGAGAGTCCTGTCGCCCTCACCTTAATTGAGGTTTCTGTAATGTGCTTTTTCATGCTTAATACCTTAGCAAACAATTAAAATGGCAAAGCCGTTGAAAAAAAATCTCTTTGGACTCAAAGTGACTGGAGAGTCAGTGAGATTTCCCCTGCAGAGCTGAGGAGTTTGAGTGAGTTTAGAACTGGGAGCTGCAGATCTGGCTCGTGGGGACGCCAGCAAATGATTCCTGTGGTTGGAATTACAGACGACTGGGCTCTGAAAATAAGTGGTTGCTGTAGCCGAAAAAACAATAATTTGTGCTGCTCTCTGCAGGGATTGGTGGTGCTTTTGCTTTGTGCTGCGCTTTATGGCTCATCTTTGGTTTGAACTTGAGCTGCTGCCTCTCTTAAAAGGCTCTTCGTGTGCTGGTGTGTTGTGGTGTCTGTGAGAGGTCAAGCAGATTCAGCTGCAAGTGCTTATACATACATATATATACATTTGCATACATTTATACCAGTGTTTATGCAAGTCCTCTGTTGTGCTCAAGCACAGCAGCACTTTGGGAAGTGTTTGGGCTCTTGTCAGAAGCCCAGCAGGCTCAGCATTTTGCTGAACTCAGGGCTTGACTCATGTCTTCACACACAGTCTCAGTTTCTCTCCCCATGCTCCCTGTTTAGGACACGGATGAGGAAGACCCATACTGATGAAAGGCTAAATCTGTGGAGGAAGAACAAAATGACAGCACTGAAAATCATGGCTAGGTACTTCTGAAGGCTGCTGGATAACCAGTGCAGAAGGAAGGACATGCTCTGTTCTTGGTAGATTGGAAGAATGATGCTGCTGGCATAATTCACTTTTATTTAAGCACAAAGCTTAATGATTTTTTTTTTTAAAAAAATCCTTCTAATTTATTGGGGGAAAAGAAAATCTCTTCACCTGGCTTGTGCAGTGCCTACGGAAGCCTCAGTGCCTTGAGCTGTACAGGCTGTGTCCTCCCAGCCCTCTGCCAATGTGTTCACCTGCAAATTTGTGAGTTTTTGGTGACAGCCCTCCTTTCCTGAGCCCTTGAAACTGAATCTCCTGAAGAACAGGCTGCTCCAGAGCTCTCTAGGCTGGTCATCTTTGGGGACTGACAGTGTTTACTCTCAGGTTTTCTGGAATGGATTTGCTGGTGACACAAACCTGTTTGATGAAGGGGTATCTGCCGTCCTGGGAGCGAAGAGAACCTACTGCTTTTTGACTATTTCTTGGTTTAATCAGCTGCATCACTGGCTACATCTCCTTCTGCTTGTAGAGGTGAAGCACAATTCATAGAAAACAAATCATTTTTTTTAATCAGAAGTGCAAATGGGGACTCTGTACCTGGGGACACACAACCCCATCTACCTCAGCCATGGACTCAAGCACTGCCCAAACCAATGCTCTATTTGCAGTAGTTGTTTTCTTCCTCTCCTTGGTACCATTTTAGGGAGATGGCCAATCCTGCAGCATTGCTTCCCCCGAAGGAAGAGCATTTCCTCTTTCACCAACCTCGTCCCTTAATGAACGACAAAGAGCAGTGGAATCCATGTCAGCTGAATCCCTAAAGAGCTGCTGTTTGCTGCTTCCTTCCTCTGTGTGTGACAGCGGTCAAATATTCTCCTTTTTACAGAGGTGGTACAAGTTTACTGCTGATACTGATGTGCCATTGTGAATAAACTGCTTTATTTCATGTTGGCCTGTGGATAACTTTATTTGGTTAAATATAGCTGAACTGATAAAACTGCCACGCTGAGCTGCTGGTGACACAATGCCTCTGTGGGCCAAAGGTTTCCTGAGAAAGGCTGCTGGTGGGATTATGCAGCCTGGAGGGAAGTGGCTTTGTTGTTCCACTCTCAGGGGTCACACGTCACGCAAGTCCTTGGTGAAAATTGTGAACTTGTTTGCTGCAAAATGTTTGCTTCATCTGTGGCTGCTTTGCAAACAGCAGGCTGGATCCTGGGCACATCTCTGGGGCAGAGCTGAACTGCCAGGGGGGTACACTCTGCACTGTGGCTGGTGTGGAGCCCGAGTGAGGCTGAGCTTTCTCCTGCTTTGTTACCCATGTGGAAATCTCTTGGTGAACCATTAAAGCCACTGATACTGGAATAGAGAACAGGAGTTGCTTTTTGGTCTTTCAGAGAAAGAGGAAGGGTGAAAAGGGGCTTTCAGAGTGGCTGGTGGGGGGTGTGCAGCAGATGAGAGGGGTGGCTGGTGGGTGTTTCTGAAGGGAACATCTGGGACAGGGTGTTTACAGGGGTCCCTTAGCCCACGAGGTGCCTGCTGGGCTGTGCTCCTGGCAGCACCGGTAGTAAAGTCCAACAAAGTCACTCTGTTGCCTCATCAGGACAGGATCCTGCAGCAGGGATGGTTCCCTAACCAGCTCTGATCCCCAAAAACAAAACAGGGGGGAGCACAGGTTGTGTGCCAGGAATCTCTCCATCCTTGCCTTCCCACACAGTGACTGGTCAGGTTGCTGTGCCGTGATGGAAGGACTGGGACTGAGCCACAGTTTGTACCTGTGAGGTGTCTTTTCCTGAAGCTGCTGCATCCCCATCATCTCCTCTCGACAGGATGCTCCTTCTGGTGCTGTGACCTCTCTGTTGCAGCCCTTCCACATTCTGATTTGTCAATCTACTTCCTCTTGCTTGTGAAAGTGGTCACCGAGCTGGACCTGAGAGAAGGAACAAAGTCTGGCAGGAGAAATATCTTGCACATGCGACGTCAGGACGATTTAGCAACTGGTTCAGATAGTCTGAATTACTGACAACCACTTCAGATGCTCCAAATTTGCCACTGAAGAACCCTTCATGCAAGACAACTTGACTGCCCCAGGCCACACTGGGTGAGTTTTTTTTGCCATAATAATTTCCTTTTTTTTTTCTTGAAAAGAGAGCCAGGGAGTCAGAAGTGCTGGAGATTCAGATGCCACGTGAAAAAACAGGGAAACGTGAAGGCTGTATGGTATCTATGTCTTTTTTTTTTCCCCCCAGTCTGTTTGGTAAAGGTGATTTGGATGTGTCAGCACCACAAAATACATAACAGCAGGGTGAGTGGGTGCTGTCTCCAGCTGGTGCATCACAACACCCACAGAGTGGTGCGTGTCACGGGGGGGAGACCCTGCAAAGACGTGTTCCCAGGCAGGGCAGTTTATTCTCAGAAACAGGGTAATAAATCCTGGAAGGACTTGATGGCAAGTACGTTCCAGAGCCTCGGTAGCTCATCTGCAGGGAACTTGAGAGGTTCTGAGTGTGGAAATCCCAGGTTTCAGGATGCTGAGGACTGGTTTTTAAGCTGGCTGTTCTCCTGGGTGCTGCCTGGGGGTGGTCCTGGGAGGGTGCAGCTCTGCGTGAGTTTTTGGCGGTGTCTCTGGAAGGTAGGATGCTGTGGCCTCCTGCAGGGAGCTGTGCTGCCCCAGCTGAGCTCTGGAGCTGAGCAGGAGCGGTGCTGTGTTTGTAGGTCGTGTGTGCAGCAAACTGTGTCACGGCAGAGCTGCAAACAGCACAGCCAAACCACAGCAAACCCGACCCCCGGGGGGGGGCTCTGTGCTTTGAAAGGCAGGTTTGAGATAATTCCAGAAGGTGTGAAGCCACTTTGCAGGATTTTTGAGGGTGATCAAGGGCAGAGGGTTTTACATCTCTGACTGCAAAGCTGTAGTGACTTTCTCAGCCTGGAACAGACCCCTGGGTACTCAGTACCTCATTCTGGGCCTGTAATCCTTGCATGAGGCTGGTCTAAAGATCCTCTCACTTGCACCATGAAGCCACCAAGATGTCAGAGATGATTCATCTCTTGTCTTTCTGTTTCTGCAGTGAAAATGCCTGTGCTGGAAAACACGTGCTGGTAATGGCAACCTCAAATCCAACTGCCACGTGCAGGTTCTCCAGGCAGGAGAGCTTCCCTCAGTAACTTGGTGCCCTTAAATGTGTTTAGCATTTTTTGGATGGGCATATCTGGGAATCATGGGGCAGGGACACAGTGACTTTGCCTTCCTTTTAACACCAGTTGGCATATTCCTGACAATGACAGCCAGTCCTTCCTTGGGCTGCAGGATATATCCACGAGGTGTAGAAAGGAAATGTCAGCTTTATTTTGAGAGATGTGCAGCAGGTCAAGCTGAACCCAGTGACCAAACATGGCACTGTCTGAACAGAGCATGAGGGGCTCCAGCAGAACCTCTCTCCATGTGCAGCACCCTGGGGCAGGGGGGTTAGTCCTGGAGAGGAGGGGGGTCTGTGTTTTTAGAGCCAAACTTGTCTGATTCTGTAGTACTCAAAACATCCCACTGCTCTGGGAGCAGAGTTAACACCTGTGAACATCTCGGCTCAGATGTCAGAGGCTCGACCCCCAAACCACCGGAAAGATTCATGACTTCGGGGGAAAACAAAGGGGTTGAGGCTGAGCCCTTTCTTTTCCCCCACACTTGCTCTTCCTGTCCAGGGCTCAGAGCAATCTCATAAACCAGAGACCTGGTATCTGCCATGTGTGCTTGGCTGACTTTCAGGCTCCCAACCTGAGAGGCTGCACATCAGGCAGCAGAGCCTTTCTCTAACCTTCAGCTGGTGGCAAGTTGTTGGTGTCCTGCCCCAGGGGAGACTGATGCCTGTGTCACCTCTGCTGCTCTTTTCAGAATAAGATGAAGGTGTTGCTGAGCCTGACTCTGGTGCTGGCATGGCTGGGTAAGCTATATGTTTTATTTACCTTTCCTTCTTTCCCCTCTGCTTTTGCTTTAAGACCTGGGTATCGGGGACTCCTCTGGGCGCTGCATCTTCCCTTCCTGCAGACCTCACATTTATATAGGCTTTGAAATGCAATGGCATCCCTGGATGTGTCCTGTACCTAGCCAGGCTCCAAGGCTTTGAAAGAAGTAGAACAAGTCTAAATACAGGGAAAGGTTTCCAAGGTATTGATTTTGGCTTTGCTTGAGGCAGCTCAGCCCTTGGTCTTCTCTGCTGGCAAGTATTTGTCATTACGGCTCTGCAGCTGGTCAAGACCAAAAGAACCTGTTTGGGAAGCACTGTGCATTTATTATTTACAGGACATCAAACAAGCACTTGGTGCTTGGCCAGAGCCCAGCCCTCTGTGGCTTGTGGACAGGCTGAGCAGAGTGGCTCAGACACGAGGACAAGCCTGCCTGTCAGAGCAGCTCCAAGCTGAATCAGCTCCTCTAGTTCTCAAGAGACAACTGCCAGAGCCTCAGCCTCTTCTTTTAGTGCCAGTGCAGGCTCTGGAGCACACAGGGTGTCTCTCAACGAGCTCCAGAGTCGTTTTCTGGCCCACTTTTTTCACGGAATCGTTTAGTTTGGAAGAGACCTTTCCTGCCCTTCCTGCTGTGCCATCTGCAGCCTGGCGTGCCGGCAGCCACTGGTTGTGTCAGCTCTGTGCTCTTTGATCTTCCTCTCTTTTGGTTTTTTTTTCCCACTGTCCAGCTTCTCTAGAAACCCCAAACTGTAGTTACGTGGCCAGACAAGTACAAGCGCAGGTCTGGAGCCTGTGAGCAAAGGGGAAGGAAGCCAAATGGGCAGGTTGTGAAGGAGGAACTGAAATCCGTGTGAAGCGCTCCAATTGCCCCTGGCCTAGCACAGATGAGGGCGGCACAGGTTCTCCCGGCCCGTGACTCAGAGGGACAGCCCTGCAGGAGCTGCAGGCTCTGGCTCCAGGGCGCTGGAGGGCTGGGGTTGTGCCTCCCGACGTGCCTTGTGCGCGGCTTGTCCAGCGAGCGCGGCAGCCCCTGCTCTGGCGGCGGGAGGATGTGCTGCCCCGCATCCCAGGCACGCCAAGAGCAGGGCTCAGGGAGAGGCTTTGCCTCTGGACTGGTCAGTGCCGCGAGCCCCAGGCTCACCTGCGGAGGAAATACCGATGGGGACAGGCAGGCTGCCCCTGGCCGTGCTCCCCGGGCTCATCCTGCTGTCCTTGTCCCCGGCAGAGCGATGCGGAGGGTCTGGCTGGGTGGTCACAGAGCCGCAGCTCCGAGCTAGCGCTGGGGGCTCTGTGTTGCTGCAGTGCCGCTTCCTAGACCTGGAGAACAAGGACTGGACCATGACCAAGGTGGATTGGATACGCAAGGCAGGGGCCGGCACACAGGTGGGTCGGGGTCGGGGGGTGGGTGGTGGAGCGGGACACGGGGGCTGTGGCAGGGGAGGGTGAGTGAGGCAGCTGTGGGGAGGATGTGGGGAAGCCCGTCTGCCTGGCCCAGGCCACGACAGGGGGAAGGTTCCACGAGGGGAGGAAGGTTACCCGTGTGCTGGTGGGACAGCTCCAGCACTCCCCGTGGCTGCAGGGGAATCACCGCAGTGGGTGCTGCATCCTGGGGCTTTCCAGGAGAGCGGGAGTGAGCCGGGCTCTCTCAGAGTCCGTGGGGAGAGGGAGAGAGCAGAGACCTGAGGGCTCTTGAGGAGGGAAGGCTCACGGGGCAGTGCCCTTCCACTGGGCTCCCTTGACCTGACTGTCTGTGCCCCGGCAGGAGGAGATGGTGTTTTATTACTACAGCAGCCGCGAGGTCCCTGTGGGCCGCTTCAAGAACCGGGTGCGGTGGGAAGGGAACCTCTCCCGCTGGGACGGCTCCGTGCGGCTGCGGGACCTGCACGTGAACGACAGCGGCACCTACGAGTGCGAGATCCGGCTGCGCTGGAACAGCAGCGTCTTCAAGAACAGCACGGTGCTGCACGTCAGCCCCCCGGTGCGGAGAGGTGTGTGCTGTGCCCTGCCACTGCTCCTCTCGTCCCCTCGTGCTGAGGGGCTGCAGAGGCCCTGGAGGCTCTCAGACCTGCCCTGGTGCCATCCCTGCCCTGGTGTCTCCCCAGAGGGAGGAGGAGCAGCGGCTGCCCCGGAGGCTGCGCCCCTGAGAGACTCCGGGTTTTGGCCGGCGGTGGCGGGCTGTGGCTGCGTGGCCGTGGTGGTGGCGTTCCTGGCCGGACTCTGCGTGAGGAAGAGGTACCAACGCCGGCTCTGGGGTCATGGGGCTGAGCAAAGCACCTCCCTGTGCTGGTGTCCCCAGCCAAGCATCTCCCTGAGCTGCCCCATGCCGGGCAGGTTCCCAGGTGTGAGGGTTCAATCCCCCGGTGTGGGGTGCAGCCTCCTGCTGCCATCTAGTGTCACCCTGCCCTGGCCGGTCCCCCCCATGGCTCCCACGCCCTCTGGGCTGGGCCAGCAGCAAGGATGGCCTGGCTGAGGCACATGCAAAGAGATTCCAGAGTCCCAGGAGAGGGAGGGAGGGGCAGGAGGGGCGGGCAGTGCTCCTGACTGGAGATGATGACACTGCTGTTGCCTTCCCACAAGGTTTGCAGGCAACACGGCCCTGGAGAGGGTTGGAAACAGCAAGAGCAAAGCAGAGGTGAGAGCTGAGGCTGGAGGGGTCACTGAGGTCGGGTGGGTGGGGAGGCCGAGGGAGGGGATCCCACCCTGCCCAGACACAGCCATGGCTCTTGGTGCCTGCCCTGTGAGTGGGGTCAGGCAGCCCTTGTGTGTTTGGGGACCGCCCAGTTCCAAACATCCCCATCTCCCCCTTGCAGGAGGCGCTTTACTGCTCCATCCCTGGAGCTGAGATACCCAAGGCTGAACAGGATGCCAAGAAGAAGAGGAGAGCTGAGGACACCTACATAACCATGGTGAGGCAGCTGCCCTGATCCCCCACATCACTGCCCCCTCACCAGGGTCGTGGCGTCCAGGCCTGACCCCTCACTCCCTGTGCCAGGCAGCAGCATCCCCTAGCCCCTCCACACAGACCCTGGTACCTGTGGTGACACTCACACCCTGTCCCTTGCTCCTGCAGCACCCCTCCCACTGCCGGGAGAACGGCGTCTACGTGGAGCTGTCCAAGAGGATGATCCCGGCAGAATGGATGGGAGAGGGGAGACAAGGTGATGGACAGAGCCAGGAGCCCCACAGCAGACCAGAGGAGCCACTTCCCTGGGCTCCAGAGCAGGAGAAATAGCCGTGCTGGGGGATGAAGCCCCTTAGCCAGGTGTGTCCAAGACGTCTTTGTCCCTTTGGGTGGCCAGAACTGGTGACACTTCACTGTGCACTCCGTGCCAGGGCACTGCTGGGGCATGGCCCACCCCAGCTGTCTGCAGGGGACCAGGGGAGACCTGCCCCTCTTGCCTCCTGGTGTCTGGAGAGGGGCACAGAGGGCACAGCCTCCACGCTCTAGCTTTGAGCCTGGTCCCGAGACAAGGATCTCCAAGGGGGGGAATACAGCAGGGACCATTATGGTATTATTCTGAAGATAATAAAACTCAGGGACTCTTCCCTGTTCCTGTCTTCGTTTTACCTCTTGCTGAAGCATGTGATGTCCAGGTGTGCCAAAAGCTGCCTGGCCCAGGAGCCCCTGCACTCGCCTGCAACCTCGCCCAGGGCGCCTGCCCGGCTGGCCTGGGGATCAGTAAAGCCAAATGGGCACAGAGGGGGTCCCTTTGCAGCAGGACAGGGGTGGAGGGGAGCAGGACAGACCCCACAGGCAGTGTGTCTGCTCACATGTCTCCCTGCCCCAGCCCCTGGCCGTGGGTGAGCACCCCCCCTGTACCCAGGACAGGCAGCCCTGGCCGGGGGGAGCCCAGCACACCCTCCCAGGCCTCCAGGGCAGCATCTGAGAGGGTGCTGGCTCTGCTCCTGCTCTATATATAGATGTTTGACACCTCCAGGTGCGGAGGGAGCGCCGGGGACCCTCCACCTCCCACCACTGCTGAGACTGCAGCGCTGCTGCTGCCTCCTTGGTTCACGTTGACACCCTGCTCTCTTTTCCTGGAGGGAAGCAGAGGGATGGGATCACAGCAGGAGCCGGCAGCCCCAGCTGCTTTTGGGGTGTTGGAGGGTCTCATACGACCTCTGCTGCCGTTGTGGGAGCTGCTGTGGCAGAGCAGAGTGGGCTCTGCGTGCCTGGTGTGCAGGGGAGCTGCTGTGTGTGCAGGGAGGGTGTTTGCTGAGCAGGGTTGCTGTGTTAGTCCTGACATGATGCCTTATGATGCCTTCTCTCCCAGCTGTCCTGTTTCCCCTCCTGAAGCCGGTCAGGTAGCAGAGCCCCTCTGTGTCCCTCCTGCCTCCCTGTTGCCCCATCCCTTCCTCCCCAGGTGTGTAGGAAGCAAGATGTGCCAGCATCCAGGCTCCAGGGCATCCCTTGCCTTTCTGCCCACTGATGCTGTCTCAGCAAACCCCACCTCCCCATGTCCCAGGGCACGAGAACTGGGGGGCTGAGGCCATGTCATCCCCTTCCTGCACCCACCTGAGCAGCCTGAGGCCAGGCTTGGAGTCCAGGGCCCCAAGAGGGTCCCTGTCTGAGGGTACTAATGGGATCAAAGACTTTCTGTAGCTCTGGTACTGCTGGGCAGAGCTTCCTTGTCCCAAGGGCTGGGTGAGGAGGGGTGTTGCATGGGGAGAGCGTGCTGCTGGGGGGGTGGCAGAGCTTGGCACCCCTGGGAAGAGAGGGAGCTGCTCTTGCAGTGGCCTGGGAGAAGGTGGGTGAGCAGGAGAGCTTTTACCTGCTGCAGGTCACCTGCCCGTGGCAGTGCCTCCTCCTGGGCACGCTGACCAGGCTGCTGTGCAGTCTGTCTCCTTGGGACCCTCTGCTCTTCCCAGCCTGGATCAGCCCCTCTCTGTGGCTCCAGGAGGGCATTTCCAATGTTCCTGGGCCCAGCTGAACGGGAACAGCTGCTGAGGATGGTGTGAGCGGGGGCTGGTCACCAGCCTCCAGCAGAGCTAAGAGGGCACGTCTGCACGGCCCCACTGAAACCAGGGGGGCTGCAGGAGCCAGGGGAACCCACCCTGTGACACAGCCCACGAGGAGAGCACGGAGCTGGAGTTGCCAGGAGCTGTCGCCTGCAGTTCAGGGGAAAATTTTTCCGCCCTCCCACTCCGCCGGCTGCAATCCACCAACCACAGCATTTACTGCTTTTTTTCGCCCCAGCTCCGCTCCAGCCATATTGGGCTGTGGAAATAAAGCGGCTCTAATGTTATATGTCACCTGCAAATAACCCGGGCGTTCGAAAAAAACCCCTCCACCACCACCTCCAAAACCCACGCCAACACCACGTCCTCTCCACACACAAAAAATCCTCCAAAAATGAGCCCGGAAGCCTGGCTCCCGCAGCCCACCTTGTTCCTCACTGGCCTCACCTTGCTGCTCTCGCTGGGTAAGTGTCTGACTGGATGCCCTTGCATGCAGCCAGGTGGGGAGGCACCCCCCTACCTGGCCAGGAGCCCCCCTCCCCGCACCCCAGCCCGTGCCGGCGCGGTGAGCCGGCGCTGTGCCGCAGGGATGGGCACGGAGGTGGTCCGGCATGCACCCTGCGGAGAGCCACCAGCCAGGGTGACCTGCTTTTTGGGCAGGGTTGGGGGTTATGCTGTGACTGCATTTTCTCCTGAAGCCAGCCGTGCACCCCGCTCGCTGGACGAGGCTGTTTGCATGCTGGGCACAGGGGCAGGCTGCGTGGGGAGAGGGGCTGTGCCTCGCTGGGGGGGTGGTGGGTGGGCTGGGGTGGCTCGTGGCTGTCCTTGGGGTGGTGGCTGGCGGCTGGGGGAGCGGGCAGTGGGCTGGCAGTGCTGCATGGGCCGGGGGGGGGATGTGTGCCCTGCGTCCTGCCCCGCAGCCAGCAGCGTGTGTCAGCAGCTTTGGGGTCGGTATCGATCGCGAACAGGAACGCATCGCTTCTTTGAAGTGCTGCTCGCGCTGTCCTGGAGCTCCTGATGGGCTGCCTCATCCCTGAGGAAAGAGCCTGGGAAAGGAGGATACAAAACCTAGTGAGGTCTGCTTTAGAGGCTGCTGTAATTTTACCTCCCTGGGCGCAGCGTGACGGAGCGTTTGGGATCCTGCGCGGTGCCGAAGGACGCAGCCTGGACGGTCGGTCCCGGGGCCTTTAGGGGCTTCTTCCCCCACTTCTGCTGTTCCCCAGTGCTGGCCCGTGGCAGAGTTTGGACCCACACATGTGGGTGCTCCCAGGGCACGTGCCCACCGTGTGCTGGCTGCCCGTGAGGACCCTCTGGCTGCGGTGCAGTCCTGCCAGGCCATGGTGTCCCCGGCTGGGGCGATAGGATTGCTCCTGGTGGGATCTCACCCCTCTGTAGAGCCCTGGGGGCACCCTGAGGGCACAGAACAAAGCCAGGTCACCTGATTGCAGGCACACAGGGCGTTGTGTGAGTGGTGCTCAGCCAATGACTCCATGCAGGGACCCCCACCCCAACCAGGCCTGCTGGGACAGACCAGCTCCTGGCTCTTTTCTCCCGCTCCTGCAAGGTTTTCTTGGAAGCATCTAAAGCTGTGAAGGGGCAGCAGGGCTGTGACACTGGCTCAGGACACTTCTTCCTTCCTTGAGCACTGGGGCTCGACCCCATGTGCCAGCTGTGCCCATCCCTGTCTCCCTGAGCCCCGTTGGAACCCCCACTGTGCTGGGGTTGGATGGAGGGCGCTCGCCTTGGCTGCCAGCACAGCAAGGAGCCGTCTCCAGGGCTTGGCCATACCTGAGGGCACCCCCCTTGCCCCCAGAGAGCTTCAGGGTGCTGCAGGTTCACCCCGTGCAGCGAGAGCTGTGGCTCGGAACAGCCGTACCTGCGGCTTGGGAAAGGCAGATTTCCCTGGCTGCAGGGCCTGGCCCCTTTCCTGCCCTGCTTGCAGACGGAGCGGAGTGGCCAGCGGAGCAGCCTGGACAAGCCTCCAGCTTGGCCGCAGGGCTGGACTCGGGAGCACCTCGGGAAGAAGGTTTGAGAGCAAAGAGCAGCAGCCCGAGGGGAGAGGTGAGGTGATCCAAAAAGCACCTGCTGGTGGCAGTGTCACTGTCCCTGCCCTGTGGGATGCCACAGGCCCCCTTTATCGTCCCCTCCCTCCCAGGGCTCTCTGTCCCTGTGTGCCCCAGGGCTCAGCCTCGGTGTTTGCAGCCAGCTGGCTGCACAGGAGCCTGAACCCTTTCCAGGATGCAGGTGCTGGGTCTGGGGCAGGCAGCAGCCCAGGGGAGCTGCAGGGATGGAGTTGAGCAGGGAGCAGGTCACAGACACCCTGTCCCTGCCCATGTCCCAGCTGAGTCCTGCCCTGAGAGCTGCACCAGGTACAGCCCCTGTTTCTCTGCCACAGCGAGGCTGGGACTGGCCTCGTTCTCCCAGGAGCGACCCAGATCTCGCTCTGGTCATTCTCAGCTGGAGAACCCTTGCGTGGGCACTGCTGGGAGAGGGGAGCATCTGCATTCCCCCTGCAGCCCCTGGGGCCAGCCCTGGCAGATCCCAGCCCTCGCTGCCGTGCCGTGCCCTGCTGGGAATGGAATCTGATGAGCGCAGCCATAAATTTGAGGGCGGATGTGGCGCCGGGCCCCGTGTGCTGACGCTGCATCCAGCCCTGCACGGCGCTGTGGATCCTGCAGCAGGAAAGCCTCGGGAACCGGCAGGGAGCAGGGCTGGCCGCGAGCCAGCACGAGTCAGCACCGGGCACGGCACTGGGGGGTCATCGGCTCTTCCTGTCCAACCAAGGGACTGTGCCAGGCCTGGGGCTGCTCTCCTTGTTGTCTGTCACTGCTGTGTAAGGAAATCCCACTCCTGGCTGGCTGCAGTGTGCGTGGATGTGCCTGGAAGGTGATGCCAGGCCCCGGGGCGAGCTCTGTGCAGGCAGGTGGCTGCAGGATGTGCCCCCTTCCTAACTCCTCTGCATCCGGCAGCACCCCCAGGACTGGGCATGGAGGTGATGGCCCCCCCCATCATCAGTGCCTTGAACGGCACCTCCGTGAAGCTCTCCTGCACCTTCAACTCCTGCTACAAGGTGGAGAACAAGCAGTTTTCCCTCAACTGGACGTACCAGGAGTGCAGCAACTGCTCGGAGGAGCTGGTGAGTCTCACCGGGGCTGGGGATCAGCTCCCAGTGGTCATGTGTGTCCCTTGGGGTCCCTGGCAGGTGCAGGGAGGGGGGTGCCCATGGGGTGCCAAGCGCTGTCTCACCTCCTCTCCCGCTGGGCCGCCCAGTTCCTGCAGTTCCGCATGAAGATCATGAACAAGCAGCTGGACCGCTTCGGGAACCGGGTGGAGTTCACGGGGAACCCCGCCAAGTACGACGTGTCCTTCACCCTCAAAAACGTGCAGCTGGAGGACGAGGGCATCTACAACTGCTACGTCCTGAACCCCCCGGACCGGCACCGGGGCTACGCCAGCATCAGCCTGAAGGTGCTCACCAAAGGTCAGTGTCCCCTCTGCTGGTGCCTCATGCAGGGTTTGCTCCCTGGCCCTGCCCGCTCCCAGTTGCTCCCAGGGGCTGGCTCTGTGCCCTGAGCCCGTGCCCTGTGTCCCCAGAGCCCCCGAAGCACGACTCGACGGTGGCTGTCATCGTGGGTGCCTCCGTGGGCGGCTTCCTGGCCGTGGTGATCCTGGTGCTGATGGTGGTGAAATGCGTGCGCCGGAAAAAGCAGCAGAGGCTGAACACGGACGACCAGAAGACGGAGGAGGAAGGGAAGACAGACGGGGAAGGCAACCCGGATGAGGGCACCAAGTAGTGCCCCCCTGCCCGCCCCTCCCTCCTCACCCCTGTACAGCGTGACCCTCTCGATGTGCTTCCCAGAGCAAGGATTTCTGTCTCCCCAGAGCATCCCTCCTTCCATCCAAACACCCAACCCAGCCTGGAGCAGGGCAAGGAGAGAAGAAGGTCCCTGGAGCCTGGCCCCGGTGGGCAGGGCTAGGGAGGAGGGCTGAAGCTCATCAAGGCTGCCCTGAGGCTGAGCTGGGGCCAGCCTGTCCCTTGCTGAGTGCCAGAGTTGTGAGGAGGTGCTGGGGACAAGCTGGTGTGGGAGAGGGGGGACCAGTGTGGTCCCCACACACAGAGCAGGGGGTGCCAGGAGGGGCAGAAGGGTCTGGGCAGCCCCGTGCCCAGTTGTCTGCGCTCTGTCCCAGTAGAAAACATGAGCAGGGGCCAGTAGCCCTCTGCCCTCAGGGCCATGGCTCATCCCCGAGGTGTTCCTGCTGTGCCTGGGGCACAGGCACTGGTGTTCCCATCCCCAGGGATCCTGGGTAGCTGCCAGTCTTCTCCTTGCAAGTCCTGTGTGCCAGTGCTGAGGGTGCTGAGACAGAAAGCTCGTGCTCCTCAGGGACTGTCCCAGGCTGCTCGGAAGCCGAGGGCCGGGTAATGACCGTGAGCCCAGGTGGTGTTTCAGAGCTTTGCTGTGTTTGGGAACCACTAATGGCTCCTGGTCTGTCAGGGATGTACCCTTCTGCTTCCTGGGCTATTTTTGAGTCTGAGCATCTCAGCCAAAGGCACTGGGCTGACTTTTTTGCGGTCTCAGGGAGGGTAATTGTAATGGAAAATGTTCGGTTGACGTGTCAAACTGAGGTGGTGGGGAGTGGCAGGGTGAGGCTGCTCAGGTTTAAGAGCTGCTGGGAGGAAGAGGAGATTTTGGGCGCTTGCTGGGAAGGCACAACAGCAGGCCTGGAGTTAGGACATCTCTGTCACCCTCGAGCAGCCCTGCCATGCTGAGACTGCCTCCTCCAGCCTCCCTGCAGAGCACTGCACAACCCATAACTGCCATGGCAATGCACTGCCAGCGTGCCCAGTGCCACCTGCCTCACCTGGCAGGTGAGCTGTGGGGGCTGGATCACGCCAGGGTCAGGCAGGGAGGTGACCCAGGGCAGTGTCCCCTGCAGCACCACACCTGGGCTTTCCTTCTCCCGTGGCAGGCGGGACGTGGGGCAGAAGAAGAGCAGCGCACGGAGCCACAGGGGACACTGCCCGGGGGTCCTGTCACCCACGAGCAGCACTGCCAGGGGAGAAGGGAGATCTTTACTGTGTCCCCGGGTGGGTGCCATCCCGGCAGTGCCACAGGCAGTGCTGTCAGGCCCCGGGGGTGAAGCGACAGCCACGTGCTCCCTGCTCTGCCCCATCGCTTCCCGCCCCACGTGCCCTCCCCATCCCGCTCCACCTCGCTGGGCTCCCGCGCCGCTCCCCTTCCCATCTGCAGCAGGAATGTGCCGTGTCCCACACGTGGCTCCCCCTGTCCCGGGGAGGGCCGGGCTGAGCTGCCTGTCCCGCACACCCCACACCCCCAGCTCCCCGCACAGTGCCAGCGGTGTTCCCGCACCGCCCGCTGCTCGGAGCCTGCTGCTCCACGCGGGACTGAGCCCGCAGCTCGGCGGCCAGAGGCCTCTGAGCGTTGCACACGACCAGTCTTGCATCTGCCTTTCATCTTTTTCGTGCACTATATCCTTTGGATTGCAACTTGCCAATGCATCTGTATGTACATAGCTGTACACAGCAGAGAGAGTCTACAAATATATATCTCTACACACAGGAGGGGCTGCTGTGGGTCGTGGTGTGGCCTTGGGTTTGCGCCTTCCCATGGGCTCCTCTTGCCAAGTGCTCTGCCGAGTGTAGGATGTTTTTATTGCTCTTTGTACAGTCCAACGAACAAAAGAACAACAAAACACAGACT